ATGCTTGTAGCATCCTGGGAAGGCTTGTAGCACACTAAGGGATGCTGGTAGCATCAAAGGGAATGCTGGTAGCATCAAAGGGAATGCTTGTAGCAACAAAGGGGTGCTTGTAGCATTTTAGGCGATACTTGTTAGCATCCTATGGGATCCTTGCAGCATCATAGGGGATACTTGCAGTCTCGCAGACAATACCTGTCGATATTAGAGGATTCTGGTGGCATTTCAGTCATTGGCTAATTGCGTACTTGAATAGTTGAATAGTCGAAACTTCAAGTATTGAATAATTGAATAGTTGAATAGTTGAATAGTTGAATGGTTGAAACTTCAAGTATTCAATAATTGAATAATTGAATAGTTGAATAGTTGAACTAATAGTTGAATAGTTGAATTCAACTTTCAAGTTTGACACTACTGGTAATATGATCTTTTACTAAACGACAAGAAAGTTTTACTCGCCATCTCATTTTTTCCAAAAATGTTTGAAGATTTTCATCATCCCTATTCAAGAAAATAAGCTGTTTTCAGAAAAAAAAACAAAAAAATCTTTTTCGTTTTTTTCCTCCATTTATAATTTTCTGATCGCGTATCTCAGAATTTCTAAAGGAGCTTCATTATAGCTAATACGTTTTTTCGTTTGAAAGAACATGTTAAGATACAGGGCATGACGGAATTCGTTTTTTTTTTCATATTAAGCTGTTTTTATTATATATATATATTAATATAATTAGACATCCATTTTTAGAGAGTTTTTTGAGTCATAGAACTTGTGATTCATATTTTTGTGCTTAAAAATATAATTAGGCTGGACAGAGAAATTTGAGATGTCAAATCTACTTTTTTTTGACTGTTGTATGGTAAATATCTCTGTTAAACGTCATGGTATCGGACTGACAAGGTTACCTCAGCTTCTTCACGACAGTTCCAACATATCCTGAAAATTTCATATGATTTGAACGTACTTGGGCTAAGATCGCTTTTTGACGACGAGGAAAGCTTAAACAAAGGTCAATAGCATAATGAACATCATTAAAAATTGGAAGAAAATTACATATTGATGTAAACATATCCAGCGAAGATTTTTTGATTAATATTTATACCAAATCGTTAATAAAATCAAAGTCATTTTATGTCAATCGATTTCTCTTTAAACGCACTATCCAGTGCTATTGAGAACCAGATGAAAACTTTCTTCGATAGCAGAAAATTTCTGTTGATCTAATCAAAATTCATTTCGTTTACAGCACACATAACTTTTTCGTCTGCAGAAGTTAGTATAAAGGTGCATCGGCAATACAGCACGTGGAATTGAATTCGTCTCACTAAGATCTATCAAACCGTATGTCGTATTTTTAGTTTATATCGGTTTTTCGAAATCTCTGTATCTCTGCCACTCTTATAGTGGTAGTGGAAAATTTTTTTTGTTTTTTCTACAACTCATACAATGAAAATTCAAATCGTTCATATATATATAAAACATGATTTTTACCGTCACATATGTGAAATTAATTGTTGCTTTCAACCAGCTAATGAAAATTGTAGATCTAATAGCCATATATAATTTTCGTTGTCATCATTATCAATTAATTTATCTGTTCGTATTGTTCGAGGTAGATCAGATCTAAAAAAAAAATTTAAAATATTAAACAAGATCAATTTTCTTACAGTTCGTTCATAAATAGTTACAATAAATCTGTATCGATTGGTTCTTCAGTTTCTGGTGATGATAATGAATATAAAGATTCATCTGAATTTAATGCATCATGTTGATGATGAGTTTGTTGTGATTCAATGTGAATACGATGATCTATAATATTTTCAATTATTGTATCAATAGATTGTGTTTGTTGTATATCAGCAAGTATAATTTTATATGAAATTTATAAAACATTTGTTGAATATTTTGAACATATTTGTTAATTGTACATCACTAAGACCTACATGATCAAGACGAAATGGAAAATTATGATTAATTTCAATTGAAATATTTGATAATCAAGATGAGTATCGACTACAATCAAAACGAAATGAATGATTGCCTGGTAGACATTGAATTGTTATGTCAGTTAAACCAAGTATATTAGGTGTACGACATGCAAAAATTAATGATGACTAAAGAAGAAAATTCTGTGTTGCTAAAGTTGAAATAGGTAGAAAACATGTTTGTTGTGTTATATCTTCTTGTAACAATAAATGTCATATTAGACATGTTATATCTTGTTCAAACCAACTTCGTAAACTACTTTGATGAAATAAATGATCACCTAAAATAAAATGTATATAATTCATTTAACTTACAAGTTATAACATCTAGCATGAAAATCTTGGCACAAAATATGTGCTCATGTTTGGTCTACTAAAAGTCAACTGATTACAGTCAGAATCAGATTTTGTCGCTATTTCCTAATATATAGTGAGTACCAATATGAATCAGAAAGTTTCAAAATGAATATAAGAAAATAAAGATTATTATCAAGTTTCGAAAGAAAGAAACTTCAGAAAAGGAAAAGATTAAGTTTTTAGCACCTAGAATAGATAATTGGGATTTTGTTTAGACAACATAGAATGATAGAGCAAACAGTTCTCTACAAAATGAGACATCTCCGAATTCTCAGCGATGTTTTTTTAACTGAGATACAGCAAATCATACGAAAGTCCTAAAACTCGTTTTTTTTCCAATTTCATATAGAAAAACTTTTTTTTTTTTTGACCTTCAATCAAATAGCTGTATCTAGCCTAAAGAACATCGCAGAGAACTTCGTGATATTTCATATTATAGAGAATTGTTTGCTCTATCGTTCTATGTTATCTAAACATAATTCTATTTGCCTGTTCTATGTAGAGCAAAGAAAACTGAGCTAATGGATGATGCAAAAGTTTTGCATTGATTTTGTTTTTGATATAGCGTTATAATGGAATGTTGCAGACAGGCCCGTAGCCAGGATTTTACCAAAGGGGATGTACTCCATTATAGATGCAAACAGTTATAGCTTGTTCTTGTTATGATTCATGTAAGCGCGAGAGATGTCTTTAGACTAGTAGAATAAGCTCTTATTTGTGAAGACAAAAAAAATTTTTTCGAATACTTGAGGAGACCCCAGACACAAAAAAATTGATTTATCATGAAATATAAAATAAAGTTGTGGAAAACAATTAGACTCCATCGAGCTATTCAAATGGAGAATAGTTTTTCTTTCATGTACACTCATACACCAGTTTTGACGGATGCGTAGCAATTAGAGAAAAATTAGCTAGACATCGTTATTAAGGTCACGTTTTTTTTTTAAAATTGATTTCAAATATATTTTCTTCATGTTGTGCATTTAATTAAAACATAGTTGGTTTCTCATGAATCTTTGAGTATTTATAGAACTCGACATGATCTTTAAAACTCTCAAGTCAATCTTTGATAGTTTTCCAAATAGGAAACGTGAAAAATATTTTTATTTTCAAGAACTACCTTTTTCAATGAATTTTCCTTAAAGTATCGTGATTAGGGAACAGATCCGGCTTAGGGTTAGAATTAAGGAAACTGTTTCTAATAACGACAGTTGCAAACCATTATCATAGACTGTTGATTTCTTTTGAAAAACTTTTATGAAGAAAGGTTATTCTTATTTCAATGAAAAATATTTCTAAAAATAACGGAAGAGAACGCATTCATAAAAATCTAGAGACTTGTCTTTTACATTAAGAATGTGTTCTACAGTTTAGTGAACTTTTTTACAAACAAAAAGAAAAGTTGTAAGTCTAAAGGAACTCATTCTTTACTCTTCCACACTAGTATGGAATACTTTCTTCTCAGTTAAAAAATCGTTCTCTATATGGATAGAAAGCATTCTGAACCGTTCCATGAGCCAATAGGACGAGTCTCTGTCCATTCTATTGCCAAACAGTCAAGATAGGATTTCATCGAAATGAGACTGCTTTCTTTAACATTCTCTTGAGAAAACATCCAATAATGGATTCTTTTGACTGGTGAACGCTTTCGTCTGAATTTAACGTCACTTTTCGGTCAAAAATAACAGCTCTGAAGTACGGCAGCTTGAAACTAGTGTCACAAATGGTGGAACCTTCAATTAGTCATACTTTAAAACTGGCAGTGCTGATTATAAAAGAAAAAACAAAAAAAATTTTTAAATAATAATTTGAACTACAAAAAATTAGAACACGCCATTGAATAGAGCTCGTCGAGTTGCATCGGAATCGGTCTTTTAACGAATTATGTCTGAACTTCTCTCCGAGAACTCTTATAATGAATCTAAATTTAGGCAACAAAGATCAAAAATGCGTTCCAGAAAAAGTTACCTTTCTTTGGAGAAAAGAAAGGGTTTCAAAAAAGTTGGAACAGTTAAGAAAGTATTCCAAACAATATGGAATGTGTTCTTAGTGGTTCGATTTTGGAACGCTGTTCACTTTTGTTAGAACGTTTTCGTTCCTTAAAAAAAGAGCTTTTAATTTTATAGAATGCATTCTTTCCCGTTCTGTGAAGCAAATATTTTTCACTGGGATATCATTGAAAACAGGCGAGTCCAAGGATTATCTAAATATAAAAATACTTTTGGATTATATGGTCAATAATCATTCACGAAGTCAAACAAGATGAGACAACTTTTCACCGGCATTATTAGAGAAATCGTCTCTGCTGTTTGTAATGATAGAGGCAGATCTTGTTGTAAAAGGGCAAAAGATGTGGAGTTGTCTTGTTGTTCTCTTATTTGACTTTAAAAAGTTTGAAATATTTAGTTGTTTACTCATCTACAAGCAAGAAAAGTTATTCAGTTTAAGCTAGCCAATTATCATTTAATAAATTTAAAGTAAAGACAAATTCCAAAGAGAGTGCACGGGCACTCTGTGCACTTCCCCTAGCTACGGGCTTGATTGCAGACTTAATTGTTTTTTGTTGTTAGAAAGAGCAAAGTGTCTAGTACAAAAATTCATCAAAGAATTTAATTGAAATTTTTTTACAAAGACTAGAAATATTTTAAAACAAAACGCTCTGGAAAACTGTTTCACAACCATGTTGAACTTAGAAAAGATTTCATTGAATTAGATCGCTTATATATTTATACGTCGAATGTGAATTGTACAAGTTAAGGACATGGCACTATTGTTGTATAAAAAAAAAAAGAAACTGTCTACATGTTTTATAACAGTCATGATAAACACTATTACGACATCCTCTAGTACCAATGCTTTTCATCTCTGTCGATTACAGTCGAAAAAATGAAGTCTATTCTGAATGAGAGATTGCTGGAAACTATCAGTTTCATATGAGAAAGAAAGCCTATTGAATTTTCTCTGAAACTATATTATTTGGAACAAGATGAGACTCTCTATGAGATATATTCAACCAAGGATTTTTGTTTTCGCTTTGTAAGTTTTCGATCAACCAAATAAAATTTTTGATTACATTGTCTGCTATCTATTCTCTTGTATACTAGTCTAATTATTTAAATACTACACGAAAGCCATTATTCTAATTGACAACTGTATGCATGCAGTATTTTAAAAGGCAATAAATGGATACTAAAATAGTTGAAAGAGATATATTTTGATAAAAAACTTATGACTGAAGTTGTGAAAGAGTTTTTCAAAGGTTTTTGTTTTGAAATATTTCTGATTTTTGGGAAAAAAATTTCCAATCAAATTCTTTCATGAATTTTTGCACTAGACATTGCTCTTTCTAACAACATAAGAGGCATTGCACGAAAGATACAGCCAAAATATGGACCACGTGCTCAATTGATATCACGGATTTCAATGAAACTTTGCCCAAATGTAGCCCTAAGTGAGACATGAAAACGCTAAAAATTTCAGCTTCTAAAACCGTTCTGTTGTTGAGATATTCAAACTACAACAGAGGCACCGTCAGGTAA